TAAAAACCTATAAATTGTGTTCTCTTAACTTTAAAACAGGTCACAGTACTGACAATGTATATGGTATATCTAAAAATTAGTATAAAATATCAGAAACAAAGGGACAATTATCACAGCCTAATATAACACCTATTCCTTTTCAACCTGATAAAATGATAGTGAAATAGATCTATCAGCCATCAGTCACCAGAGCTCCACCAACATGCCTCCTTTCAAGTTTCATACATGCAAAAACTTACCACCAAACCAAACAAAACTATAAAGAAATGAAATCAGTGGTGGTCATGACAATTTTAGCAATTGAGTACATACACCATACTTTATCTTCCTTTATGCACAAGTAAAAACAGGACATATGTACAACAGAGATTATGCATTTAAAATCATGAGAAACATGATATTGTGAGCTACGTAAAATACCATCACACAAACAACTTGCATAATAGCAGTCAAAGTTTGTGCAAAGATCATAGCTTGCAAGTCCACACTATATAATGTCTCTTCTAATTGTGCCTCAGCAAACATATGGAGAATGTATGCCTGAACAAGCCAGCTAACAGCATCTGTGAAGGGTTGGTTGGGGCCGGCTAATGACGCATTTTATCTGATTAGTTCTGCTATGTTAAAGTGCAATAGCATACTACTGAACCATAATGGTACACCTCTTACTTTTCATTTTTCAAAGTGTTCACTGGGCTAACATGGTTAATATGAATGCTCTACCCTAAAATGTCATGAAATGATAAAGGGGGCTGGGCATCATAAGGGCATGTAGCAGGCAGGATATGGGAAGAGGTGGACACAAGTGTAGTAATCACATTTTGGCATCCTAATAAATAACCAAATTAAGACAAAACTCACCTGCTCTAATGGTAGGGGGCTTTTGCTTTTCCATTGTGAATATGTTTGCCGCCAATATAGAATCACATATTGGGTTGATCAACTTTCCCTGTATACATTCTTGTTTACAAGTATCACTATTTTCAAATTTGCCCCTAAGAAGTGAGACCCAGTCCGATTTCTCAGAGGAACGTTCTGGAAATGTTTTCGTCATAATATCACAGAAATTATCACTAACATTTTGTTTTAAATTGGTAAAGTTTTGTTTTGTTTTACAGACACGTTGGACGGCATCATACAAAACCATACACAAAACCAGGCTATAATCGATGTACTCCTTTGGGTCAGATGCAACCTGAACAGGCCTATCACATGCTGTTAAGTCGTTTAAATCTGATGTACCGGCATAGGCCCCACATTTCCTGGCATCATTTATGAGAGCAAGTATATTCGAACTGTGAGGCACGATGCCTCTTTCAGTCGGTGCTGGCTGTACAGCAATTGAAATACAAAATTGGGATTGTGCCAACAAACACAAAACAAAAACCTCTATGAACATTCTCATATTCATACGACCAAACAATAGTTATAGTTCAAAGTCTCTCACATCGGTGACACTATATTAATATCACATTATTTCCTCAGCGTAAAACATACGTTACACTTCACAGAGCAACACAAAAAACCTCAGTCAATAACAAGGTAGGTTGTCTACAATACCAAATCACGCAACACCCACAGATTGTATCTTCCACAGTTGATACCAAAATCACCTACGTACCGATGCGCTAGTCACTAATTGTTGTTATCTCAGTGCATTTAGCATGCTCACTGTGCTGCAATCTACCATCGAATGATAGAGGCATCACACTGGTAGCGATGCTCAGTCGATAAAGAAAAATCACTGCTCTCTCTCTCTCTCTCTCAATATATATTACATTCCATTTTTTCATAAATTAGAGGATTTGGGATAACTCGTAAAAGTATATTGCTAAAATACAATGTGAATACTGCTGTCTTGCGAATACACTGTTGACATTTTTTTAAAATTATTGTTAAGAATCAAAATTTTCAATGAAGGCAACATTTAGTCAAAATAGAGGGAATATTTGCTGTCACGTCATTTGACTGTTCTGTTTTACACCATAATTTGACTGTAAAAACAATCCTTGTATTATCATCAAAATAAATCAACCAATTTCTTGACTTGACCCATGTCAGTAAAGTAATAATGAAAAAATAAAAAATTAATGATGAATTAGAGGTAGTTCACTGGCTTAAATTCAAATGGGAAAAGCTGAGAAAGAATGATCCAGACACATTCTTTGTAGATATGCCCTGGATGACAAGACATATAAAAATAAAAGTTATCAAGAAAGGGCATCATGTATATGTAAATGACCTACAATTGAAGCCTTCTTATAAAATTGTTACACTATTAAATTTTAGTATATATTTTTAATATAAGCAAGCCTTTTTGTACCTGCCTTGCCAATGTTAGTGTATTTTGCTTTTAGTTCCACAACTGCCACAGCAAATCTAAAATCAGTACTTCTAAAGGATTTATGATTCTACATTATATCAGTGCAAATAATGTAATTTCGCATTGCATTCTGAAAATCAATTGAACTGTAAATACAGAGTTCTGGTCCTAATCCAGCTATATGGAAAAATCTGCGATATAGGAACAGAAATATCATCCATGACCATTGAACATTTATTAGGTTACACATCATTCTACAAAAATATCACAGCTTCAGTAATTTCTCACACACTGTTGCACATAAAATGTTGTACACCCAAAACAGAATACATCTAGATGTAAATGAACAACTTCATGACGTAATTAACTTAATTAAAAGTAATAAACTTTTGATTATTTTAAGTTATTTAATGGACTTCAACATGAAAGAATATTACAACATAAGAGACAATAAATTAAGGCATATGCATTCACACAACTCTAATACACAAGATGGAAACATGTCCCATCACCACATATTCCAGTAACAAAGAAAGAGAGCAGTGTAAATGTTTGAGTGTGCATGGATGTATGCAGTTGAGAATTTTCACCAAAAGAGCCTTGTTTTATGTTATATGCCAGCCAACATCATTACAGCAATTTTCTTCCATAATTTAACTTGCCAGCTGCACTATTCATTCATCTACCACAAAGGTAGCCATCAAACTATCTTAACAATATATCAACTAAATATTTGTATATTACTTTACTTCTTGAGCAACTTCTAGGTCATTAGATAACAAAATAAATTATGTAAACATCACTGTTCTATAGATAATAGAGATTTAAAACACAAAGCTGTCACTTCTCGGCCAAAGCCACCGCTGCTGCAACCAGATTTTGTATGGCCCCACAGTACATCATAATAATAAATATATACACTTCATAATGTTCAGAATTTTTCTGAAAATTTCTTCAGCCAAACTTCCATGGACCTAACATATTACTGTTATTCTCCAATTCAAAATAATGAAATGTATCAACACCTGTAAATTAACACCAATCAGTTACACATTCTGAGTCATGTATTGCCAAAAGCAATCATATCTGATCACCCAACTGGCTTATCAGTAATAAAAAATATTTAACTTGTAATCTGAAGAATTTCTTGAATACGTAAAACAATTTTGAAGCCTTTAAATTTGTCAAACATGTTACGAAAATAAGCACAAATGTTTACATAAACACATAACTACAGTCTAAATTAACACAAAGTAGACATAAATGTAGTTTTTGACCATACATATATTTATGAACGAAGTTCCACAGATGTATTTTTAAATTTTATATAATAATGACAATATGAAACAGGTAAAATGAAGGAATTCTTTGAAAATGGCATGAAATGATCACAATATACACATACTCAGATAGGCAACATATTATATACAACATTCATTACACTGATAACTATTGTTATGTATCAGCGCTCAAAATTAAGTCACGATCTGGAATGAATTTTAACGCCGTAACATTGGAATTCAATTTCACGAAGAGGAAACACCAGGACACCTTAATATTACGTTACATCACATCTCAGTAGTCCCCCCTCCCCCCATACAAATGAGACATATATGGAATGTACTTTTAGTTTTAGTTTATTCAACGTCCAAAAGTTATGCACTGATACATACAATAAGGTGTATATCTTTAAGATCACTTACATCCTCCTGTGACATCCCACAGCGAACAAAACTTTGCATTAAGATGCAATGTATCTGCAAGTGTATTTTATTTCTGCAATATTGACAATTATTAACGGTAACACAAATGCCCATAAGACACAACACTACACCATTTGTTTCTGTTCCTCACATTACAGGAGGAATGTTGAATGTGAAAGCTGGCAGGCTTAAGTGCTTGGCTACGCAAGCAGTCCTTAAAAAATGTCCCTTAAAAGTGTGAAATGAAAGGACCAGCCTGATATATCAACAAACACATCTCGGGCTCTGCCCAAATATAAACATCAGTCATCACTACAACTAATACAGTGTTCATCATTCATCAATAATTCTGCGTTATTCAACCGCACTACGTCAAGTTCAAATCTTAAGTTGTATTTTATTTAGATTTGTTGTTTATGACTTGTGCTTGATCCATATCGTCTTGACTCATGTCTTTGTCGCCCCAGCCCCAGACTTCGTGACTGCCGTCTCCCGTGCGTTCAACCCGCCTCTTCACCATAGACATCGGCACGGTCTTCAGATCGTACGCCCATCCGATGCGCGAGAAGAAGTCGATGAATGCGGTCGTCAGGTTGGCACGGTAGTTGCCTAGTTCGGCAGTTTTGTAATCCCACGGAAACACGTGATGATAATTATGCCATCCTTCACCAAGTGCCAATACGGCCACGCTCAAATTTTCTGCTGGATTGATGTATCTGAAAGAAAAAGAAAGAACTAATCAAAAAACACCAACAATTTTCTGAATGGCGCACATACAACCAGCAGACTTGTAATTCTTATCTATGCAGAACAAAGTTATGTTCAGAAACATACGCAGTTGCATGCTACATGTAACCATTAACATACATTTGCAGGAAAACTATCTATGTCCTTATGGTATTGCATCAAGGACAAAGAGTTATTACGTTCTTTCTTTTCAAAATGTTAAATCCTTCAACAGTTCATGACAGTCCAAGTTGAAAAGTGACAATGAAATTGGGATCATGCATCATCAGCCAATAAGTACTGAGATATTGATAAAATGGTATGTTACAACAAAACTTTGTGGCTCGTTACCGACATGAAATACGTCAATCACTGGTCTCAACTTTATACCCACATAGTTACCTTATTTAGATACAGATGAATATTATCCTCCCATCTACAATGTTGTTTATCAAATAGCCTCCTTCCATATAGTTTCCCAACCAGAATATTTTTTTCTTTTTCAAATATGTTTCCTTCGTGCATGCTACATGTCTGACCCAAGACCACAGATGGTAAAATAGGGGGGAAAAAAGGATTAATTCTGAAACTTACTTGTCATAAGGTTGACTTCCCCACATATGTGCAGCACTATTTACAAGCCATGTCATGTTGAGCGTGAACGTGTACCGAAACATGGCCACGACAAACCAGGCATTTGTCCAAGATTCTCCCCACAGATACACAGGAACCATTGTTGGTATCAGGAAGCAGAGTATCGGCATCATGATCAGATAGTACCTGTAATGACGAAGCAGCGCGTAGCTGTAATGCATCTTCTACCGTGAACAGCCGAGTAAGAATAAGGTGCGGATTGCTATCTGATACTCACTTTTTCTGAAACATGAGCAGTGGGTCAGTATCGAGGTCTGACATGTCAATTCCTTTTCCTTTTTCCTTAACATCAGGGTGCTTGCGCACAAGCAGCCAGCCAACATGAGAAAAGAAGAAACCACGCCTTGCATCATGAGGATCAGCATCAGTTTCACTGAATTTGTGGTGCACCCTGTGATCACGAGCCCATTCATGTACATGATTCTGCAAAATAAAAATTTTGTTTCACATTATACCACCATAGTTTTGTTTTCTATACAATGGAAATATAATCTAAATTGTTTTCATTTCTAGGTACTCTCTCTTATTTAACACTAACAAGAAATTATCTGCTGTCCTGCAGATTATTGGGAGCAGACTAAACAATCCACAGATCATAAGCCAATTATTACTTCATGTTACAATCCATCAAATCTAATCTACTCTAGTCTGCCATAACCAGGAAATTTTAGAGCTTTCAATTATTACGAAAATAAATTATATTTGCAGCAGTTTTGAAGCAACATTAACTGTCAGATATCAAGGAAGTGCTGTGAAGATTATAAGGTTATTTTCCATCTTCATTAAATACACTGTAAAGGAGGGGAACAGAAGGAGGTTAATTCCCCGTAACCATACATTTTACTGTGCCCCTGAGTGATACTTTTCGAATTTAAAAAAGTTTTCAGTTTTCTGAACTGTTAAAGCATTCGGATGTAATTTGTTTTCATCACTGGTCAATTAGTTTCATGGTTTTGACAACAATTTCTCAATTCCAATAAAAGCAAAAGAATTTTTGCAAATCTAATTTTGGAATGGCTTTACATGGTAATGTAACTTGCACAAAAACATTCAGAACCATCTTACTACAGAAAAATATTTACATTTTTTTTTTAAATTTTAACACATATAAAATGTTGTTGCAATAGTTCAAAATATTAGCTGTAGCCCACAGGAACCCTTGATCTAGATGTTCTTGAATCAACACAAAAGAAAATTAATTAAAAACATGTGACATTTCACATTTTCAGTGGTGAAGATGGCAATATGCTTCTGGGCTGACCCCATGCTGACTGGTTTATAGATGCCAATGTTTTGGAGAAACATAATTTCTCCATCTTCAGCGCTGATTATGGAGACAGATGCATATCTTCATGAAATACTCACTCTGACAGTAGGTGAGAATTTTAAGTTATGAAGCACTTCAAGTTTATTTTCTAAATATCTGTTATTTACCTGAAATGCTAGAGTATTGAATAGCATGAGAATGAGTCTCAATGGCCATTTTGCTTTGTAAGCACGGTGTGCCCATAGTCGATGTGCCCCAGCCGTGATACCTAGACCACCTGCTTGGTACAAAAGGATTGCTGCAAACAGAAACATATTTAACTATCAGAGCAATAGTAAAGCACTGTTGTAACAGTTTCCGCCATTCAATTTATATTAAAATTTTAAAACAAACTAAATTTGATTTAAGCAATACATCTCATAAAATCTACTATAGTACACACCCCATATTGATGTAATTATTTTAGCTGAAGTCAACATCAGGTAAGCTCCATAAACTGCAGCCAGATGCAAATATGCAAAAAGGATGACATTTCTCCACACAATTTGTCTCCTGTACTTTTCAGGTGGCTTTGCATCATTTTTAGATTCAATAGATGGTACTGCTACAGTCTCAACAATATCATCCTCAAACAGCACTCCTGTTGGAGAACTTGTTATATTTGGAGCCATGTCAGGTGTGGCACCAATTAATCTGGAAATAAAGGATACGGTTCACAGGCATGATTTACAGTCACTTTAAAAATAAATTCTTGGAAGAATTCAATTTACACAATGACAATTCTTGCCAGGACATACAATGCTAGTGCGCTTACATACCTAGTTCTTGATGAACGTGTGTATGATGTGAAGTTTTTCTGAATAACCTAACATGTTAAAAAAAGCAATTGTTTTAGTCTAAAGAATACTGACAGTCAGATTAAAGATTATGTATAACTTGATCCAATGTAACTAAAAAAAATTGCAAAAATTGAATGCCACTAGTAGGGCATTTAATGAAAATAATTAACGTTCAAAACACATTAAAAATCGGATCGGTTTTAGATAAAATAGCGTCAGTAGGTTTTCACAGAAAAAGACTGATGTTACTGCTCACCATTACTGTTACAATTTTGGTTATTATCTTACAATAACCTTGTTTATATCACAATTATTGACAGCTGACAACTCTCAAAGGTCAATAATCTTCCTCCTCACAGGCACACGGCAATTCATTATTTTTCGACCATATTTATAATGTTAACACAATAAAATACAGTGTAGTTCTGAACCACTGCACAACGTTTTCACAACCCCAAATGTGATTAAACAAATTGTCTAACCTTCACGTTAGTGTAGTAAAGCTGCCCCACGAGAGAGTAGTACTATTATTTTTCAAAAGTATTATTCGAAGTCTTCACATTAAAATAAAGTGAAATTTTGTGGTATATACACCCTCCACCTGGTTTACATTTTAACACAAACTCGTTCACTTCTTCCTAGCCGGGATATGTTATACTAAATTTAAAACCTCCTTGATATCGATCTTCTCGTTTGTGACGCAATACAGTTGGGTAGGATAGCATCAGGTGATCCAATGGTGTGATCTTTCTAGCCAGTCACGAAGCTCCGCGCCAAACATAATGTTGTTCATATAATGAAGTTTGACATTAACCTTCAACAATACTGTGCGAGGTCAGCGTTTAAAAAATTATATTGTCTTGTTCTATGGTTTCCGTTTGGGGATATGCGTCAATATTGTACACGATTCTTGGATCGAAATTTCGAAGAGGAGAAAACAGTATGTGGCTGTGTCCTGGGTTAAAACCCTGCCTGAAGGGGTTTGGAAAATCTTATTTTCTATGTCATAATAGGCGTGACGGTAGTATAACATTTAGTACTAGTACGAAAGACAAAAAATAAATTATTCTTTCTTCTTTTTCTGTCCTAATGAATTATTATGGCTGTAGTAAGCACTCGTGATAATGATTTGTGTGTCATACACATCAGACTGATCGCGTGCGAAAGGTGTCAGGGTCAGGGCAAGCCAGGCAATCTTATGTTCACAAAAAATATTAAAGTCGCTGCAATATTTCTGTCTGATGAGACCGAACGATTTTTACCAGGTACAGCAAGTAGCTACTTTTGTATAATTTTGTCCCCACGAGGAAGTGAAAGTGCGTGTGGCAGAATTTCACTTCCTGTGTTCCCAAACTAAGCAGGAAATATCGCAGTTGTTTAATGTAATTCTACAGACTTTAATCTCTTACACACAGGAAGTACACTGCTCATTTGTGATTCCCATATAAAATTAAATATGTAGTCGGTTAGTAGCATCACCTCGCAGACTTAAAGTAGTTTTAACGAAAGCAGGAAATTTTACGGATGGCGATCCGCGAATGGGGAGCATCAATATCTTACATTCCTTTGAAACAAAGGTGTCAACAGCTTATACGGGGGCTTCAATAGCGTAAAATCGTCCGTTATAACTCTACTTGTTTTTATAGACAAATAAAGACAGCCGAATACACCTGAACTGTAACAAATAACGATTAGAACTTCTCCGAAAACTGCATGTTCTCCTCCCCTACTCTCTACAACTGCAAGTTTATTAAATTTGTAAATTTTCAACAGAAACCCACATTTGAATATTTCAACATTTCCCGTTCATTATCGTTGTACTAGGCCTAGATGTTCAATATTTAATAGGAACACTTGTTGCAAAAGGGATATGTATGCAAAATTTTATATTTTAACAGCTTCCCCAAATAATTTACGATAAGTGGTAGAACATCTTGAAACATGATCGATCGTAAGCAATCGATATTTGTAGTGGAGAACGTATGTAATAAAGGTTCTTTTCGATTGCACAAATATATCAAACATTTTAAAACACTCTTATCAAATTCAACACTAACAGTTTTAAATAAAGTAAATGCTCACCTTTCAAATACACTACACACAAACTAATACACTATCACAGGTTTGGTAAAGATAAAAACACTTTGTGTAACCAACCATAAAACGCTTCCTTAGTGAAATGAGTACAACACATCAACGGCTTCGTTTTATACTATGAACTGACTAGCAACCGAAAGGGTTCTCGTTCACGTGTACATCGCGCGATCACAGTCCCTGAGTCATGTGACCAGCCGGTGCCCCCACCGAACCGTCATTACTGGTGGCGTGATCCACGGACCACGCGCCACTGCCTCTTCGCAAACCTAACCTTTACAGAGACAAGTTAGTTACGAGTCTGCACACCTACATAACCTATTAAGTGCTTGTGATGTGTACCTTGGACTAAACGCTCTTTCGCTAGTACGTGGGCACGAATCATACCTTCTGTAACGAACTTCGACCATCTGTTAAATTAGCAAAGAAACGTAAGACAGTCTTACGCAACTTTACTCTAGAGGTGCTGGGAACGTACATTCAGTTCAGGTACCATCGAGTCGGGGTCGATCCCTAGTGACATTATGAACAAAATCCCTCCATCCTCTTCTGTCTCTAGTAACTGTCCTCAGTTCTTCCAGGGTCTTTCCGTAGACTTCCATGACTCCATCAATCCATCTCATCCTAGGTCTTCCTCTACGCCTACTACCTTCCTCTTTTCAAAGCATTATAGATTTTTCTAGACTGTTGTCGGCTCGCATGATATGACCAAAGTACTTTAGTCTTAATTTGCAGATCGTGGCCTCAAGGGAACAGTCAGGCTTAATCACCATTACTATTAATTATAGTACCTAATAAAATAAAGCTATTAACCACTTCTATTTCTTCGTCAGTAGACAGTAGAGTTGTATCGTCTGCAAATCGTAGATTGTTGATAGTTCTTCCTGCAATACGAATGCCTGTTGCCATTCCATCAAGACCTGCTTCTCTAAATATGGACTCACTATATAAGTTGAAAAGTTATGGAGAGAGAATACATCCCTGTCTCACACCCTTACTTAGTTTAAACCATTCGGATGTATCATACAAGAACACTCAAGTGATTTTCATAATCGAATGGTTCTTACTATCGAATACTTATCCAAAAAAACGAATATTTATTAAAAAATGTATCGAATATTTATTCGATTGTGGAAAATGACGTAAAGAATCATTCGATTGTTTAATTCCTATTTTTAATCGAAAACGGCAATCGAATGAAAGTATCCGGATATTTATTTAAATTAAAACGCGGTTTTCGAACTTCCGCCGCCCAACGATGTATTTCTCGGAACCCACCCCACTCTCGTATATTCCACAATCTTCCTTTCCTTCTGTAGCATTTAAAATTCAATATACATAATACTGTTTCTAAAATGAGGCAATAAACTTTTAATTATCACCAAAAGCTTTATGACAGTAGAACTCGAAAGTTCTACACCCACCGTAGAGGCATAGAGCTTCTGTTTAATTTCTAAAGTTCCCCATGGCCCAGAAACAGACTATTATGATTTAGGTTTTTCGTGGTTTTTCTCATTCCATCTTAGCAAATACCACAAATTAATTTAATGCATTTTTAATTAGGTCACTACCACTTCTTCCACAAACTTTCTAATTCATCATCCGACGCTATATAGCCTGATTTGCTGACAGTGCTGTTAAATAAGCTACAAATAAATCGATAAAAACAACGCTAATACCAAAGTTCCCATCATCTCAGATTTCGTAGCCAAAATTTTGAATGCATACCTTGACTCTTCAACCCCAGCCATATCTTCATACCATCATAGTCCTAGAATTCACTGTTTTAACAATACTTGGAGACCTGTAAAAATTACAAAATTGCTTAGTATTCTAAATTGTCCATTTATTTGATCCTTATGAGGCACTAATATTTTCTTAAACAGGTTATTTTCGTATAAAATAAGCAAACAAACAAACTATTAGCACTATAAAAATTGACAGTGGAACCATTCCGTTTATACATGGTTTACAATTGAGTAAATAGTTTGATTAAGTCATTGTTTGTACTTGCTAATGATGTGGAAGCATTAACTTGCTTCTTGCGATTTCTATATTCCCTCTTACGTTCAGCATTAGTGTTTGGTATTTTTTTTGGGGGGGGGGAACTTCAGGTACTTTATATAATACTTCTTATTTTTTTACGTTTTCTGTACTGTCTCATATATTATGCATTAGCTTCAATGTCATCCATCGTATTATCTCCACCTAGTATGACGCAACACACAAACGCAGCAGTAGCTTGAAGTGCTACGCGCCATTATCCCTTACCTCAAACTTTGTTCAATTGTAAGAGACCACGATGTCCACCGGCACTAAAATGGAGAGACCGGAGGGCAGTATCACAGATTTCTTAATAATTCTTATATACTTTTGATATTCTAAAACGTTTTTAACAGCACAATATTATCTACTCTACGACGCACTTCTTCTACAAGCGATTCACAGCTCAGCTCTTTCCGCAATAACGAAAGCGGATTGTTGACGGCAGTAATGAAACACAACAATGCCGAATAAACAGATGACGTAACAATTAGTTTCTTAGGTAAAGGAGTGGATTGCAATACGGTTTATTCAGGCAATTATACAGCATGCATAATAAATGAGAAAAGAGCTTTATGGCATACTCAGCCAATATTGTTGCAGGCGTGTGTTAGAAATTCGAATCCTTTTTCTTGCATTGTTATGCACGCAGGAGTTCATATAAAAGCTGACCATTGTCGGTGCATATTTAGGCATTGTTGGTATGGATCTTATACAATTTTCTAACGCCGTTTTGCCGAATGACCCTTCCGTATAGACGGATTTACGTCAAAAAAAAACACTAGTACCATACGCGTTTCAACCTCAAGAGATCATCATCAGAACTTTTAATCTATGGTCTTTCCTGAAAACAAGATACCTTATGAACCATATAAAACAACTGACAATATAAGAATTAGAAACATAGCCTACGCTAATTTTATTTCAACTTCATTTCATGATATGTATATCATCTGACGCTTTCACGGCGACAACTCTGACCCGAGAGGAATCCTAATTGTTGTTCATTCCGGATGTGTTTTCAGCAAGTATTTTAAATAAATCTTAACTCGTATTCCCTTCCCACTGACATATTTCTCTATAGATCTATGTAAAAATTACATTGCGTATTAGGGTTTAACGTAGACCTCGTGTGAAATATTCTTCAGTCTCTGCAGAGGTAAAATTCGGAGCCTCTCTTTTATCGTCCAGCCAGCACAACCTGAACACTGTATGTTTTTGTAAAGTTCGTAAACTTTTCACGAGCAAATGTACATAGGATGATACAGTAAAAGTATAAATAGGCCTAATATGCATAACATACATATAACGATTATAAGTAGCAGTTTTAAAATTAACACAAATCTAAAAAGGACTTTTTTATTTTAAAGAATATTCTTTGCTCGTATTAGTTTATTATTTTACAGTATTGCAGTTCTCAGAGGTCTACATACATTAATCAGATGTCAGGCTTCCATCAATATAATCATGGAGTATGAAGGAAAATCTTCCATGTGCCAGTTGCGTGATTTCTAGTGTCTTTACGACCTTCGCATTGATACTCGTTGTCATATGAGGTACCAATGTTCAAGGTCTGTTTCGTGTTTTTGAGACAACAGGGCTAACTTCCCACACAATGTAATATTCGCGTGAATGTAACAATTTGGACTACGTCCATCGAAAAAAATCTTCTTGAGAATAAGACAGTCACTCAGATAGGCAAAAAATTTCCTGAGATCTAAAGAACTCGAAAATTCATTGGGTCTACCATAAGTCCGTCACTGAATCCCGTAGTGAGGTAGATAAATCCAGTCCACTTCTCACACCGCATGGATTTGAGATCCATTTTAATATTATCCCTATCAACACCTAGCGTTCCTAACATCCGGCCTTCCGACTAAAGCAACCTTTTCCACACCCAAAACAAAATTTACCCTTGGTTAACGATCTGAGGGCCGCAAAGTTGTAAATAAATGTAATTTATTTTAAGGTAACAGAAGTGTATTAATGGTGTTATTGCTACAAAAAGGTTCATATATTACTGAATTTTTCTTGGCAAAAAAGTTGTTTGTGTGGTATTTGTTACTGATTTTACTTGCATAATCGTACAGTATGATGTGTCAGTATCAAATTCATTTCTGTTGTTTGATTATCATGAATCCGTATAAGTGTTCGTCAGTAAGACGCGTCCCGATTCATGACTTTACATTCGCCATTAATCTGGATATTAGCTCACAGCAAAATGTACTGCCAAACAGCATAGGCTTCTCAGCTTACACAAACCATCTTTCTTCTACTTTTCTCTGTACCTGGCACTGGGGCGGTTGCATTTTCAGCATAATATTAAAATATGAACAAACAGTCCCTTGAGACAAAAAGATTTATAGGGCTGTAAGATTTGAGGTTTTCACGGCGGTGAGTATGAAGATTTCTGTCCCCTGGGTTGTTGCGCTGTGTAGTCTGGTCGATGTTTACCAACGTTTCAGAGGTCATACTGCCTCCGTCTTCAGGGCGATGAGTATGACGATTTCTGTCTTCTGGGTTGTTGCGCTGTGTAATCTGGTCGATGTTAACCAACGTTTCAGAGGTCATACTTCCTCCGTCATCAGGGCGAGGAACATCGACCAAACTACACAGCGCAACAACCCAGAAGACAGAAATCTTCATGTATAGGGCTGATCGTCGAGCAGGGCCATCTATTCTTGCGCCCCCGTACAGAAAACACGAGCTTAGAAAACGTTCATCTCTTCACTAGTGACTCCCTTCGGTGACAGGCTGCTGCTGGTTGCTTGCAAGATTTCATTCCTCCAACAATAATGTGACCAAGAACTATGCAAGAAAGAATTTCTAGTCTTCTATGGGAGAAGATTCATTCTTGTAATCAGCTGCAGCATTACGAGGCAACCCAACACTGGGTCCCGTACCTTTATCATTGTTTTGCTGTCTACTGCTATGGCCAGAGGTCCGCTATGTATTTGAATTCGTTTTCTCATTTAAATTACAAAATGTATTACCAATAAATGAACAGCAGTTTCATTGAAAGGTTTCTGAGCTAAGAAAATACGACTTGAATACTGCATCTAAAGCAGGATTCAGAAGAGAAGCTTGTAAATAAGGAACCAACTGTTTGGAACATATGTTTTTCCTTATTCAAAACAAAGCTAATTAATTTGTTGCTTCAGCAAAACTCAAAAGTTGCACAAGAAAACAAAATAAAAGTGTTTAATTGCATAAAATGCCTAAATAAAAAAACAAACAAGTAATTTATAGGGTCGTCCTTCTAGACAACACTGACATTGCTTCTATGGATTAGAGCCTAATACCATAATGACAATGCCATTTTATATAATGCGATGTGCGCCGTGTCCTAAGTGCAGAGATTCAACTACGTATACCAATGACGTGCCGTAAAAGGCACGTCAGGCCTTTAAAGCTCCTCTTCTTCTTCTTCTTCTTCTCTCTCTCTCTCTCTCTCTCTCTCTCTGAACTTCCTGATAACGTATCTAAAGAAAATCTGTAAGGCAATGGTTAAAAAGCATCTACATGTTCCAGGCCATTCCGAATAGGAAATGAATCAAATATATGTTTACCTATGCGGACTTTGCTGTAATTTTCATTTAAACACATTTTATTAACTTAATTATTTTCATGATACTACCGAATTAATTGGGAATATTGTATAAAACTTAACCTCCTAACTGAATAATAGGCTTTCTTGAAAAATTAATAAGCTGTAATGCACACGTAAATATATTCTTAGACCATTTAATGTAATTCTTTTAACTGCAAATATATGATATATATGATGAAGATTATAAGGTATATAGGGAACTGGAGGAGGCTGTCGTGATCTTGGTAACTGGTATTAGACATAGACTTCATAGATATTCACTGTCCTACAGAAATAACAAATAGCAAATTTGCGGTTTAGTACCGTACTGCATTGTGGACTACCTACAGAAGAGTATATTTATTATTGCAAAGGCTTTGTTACTAACGCATAAGAAAGCCTCACAACAAGGCAACAAAATATTTCTTTTTCAAATGTATGGTAATACAAGTTTGAAACTTAAGGATTTGAAAGACTGGTTTTCAGACTGCTTTAGAGAAAGTGCGTAAAATAGACGCTAGATTTACCATCACAAATTTGATATTCAAATGTATTGGTCGATTATGGACTGAATTTCGTATTGGGAATCAGCATTAAATGTCGTATTTTTTATTCATGTCATTCAAACATAATCTATCCTTTATACAAAGCTCAATTATCGCATAAAAATTACTGTATAATATATACACAGAGCTGATTGAGGTAACATATTTCTACTTAAATTTTGATACGGTGAACAGCAACGAAATCCAAGTCTCTAAGGAATGTGAGCCAGGCAAAGTTTACTCACATTCCCTATATGTGTTCGTAGATCCTGCGGTGGCAAAACTGAGTCCTGAACAGTATTCGATGATTCTGGCTTCGGAATAATGGCTTTCTGTCTTCTGTTAAGGAACAAGACTGAAGGTAAACTAAACAAGAAAGGGGATATTCGAAAACGTTATGTAGTTCTAATCAATGAACTTTTTCATTTGTTCCAGTTTAACGAAAAGAGAAAGGGAGTGACATGTTAGTTGGTCTCCTTCATGGTAGAGTTCTTCCGATATTAGTCAAATACCGCTCCATGCAATATGTCGACCATGAGAATACAATGCGTTAAATGTGGCATTTGTATTCACAAACAAAAGATAACGGAAATCTAGTGCTGAAGCACGCAAATATCATATTTTCCAAATCTATGCTTCTGTTTTTTATCAACAGGTAATTTTCGGGCTGATATTACAACTTACTTTATATATGCTCGTCTTCGATGAAGTCCACGTAAGTGAACATAAACTATCTATTCATTTAAAAATGTACGGGTATTTCCCAATATATTTATATACACTATATTTCTCAACACCAAATTTAAGTTGGTTTAAAATAATACGAGTGAGATAATGCTGACAGTTACTTTTATCCCTGTTGGTGTATCGCTTAAAAATACGTAAACATATTTCAGAAACTATTTGGGCCAGAAGTTCCTTGACTTTTTATAGTGAGAACTCCACGTAACGTGATTTCTGCAATGTCAAAGGAGTAATTGATCATTCATAGTTTGGCAGACGTCAAATACATGATGATTTTAGTAGGAATAACTAATTACTGTCCTTCAGTGTGCAGTGCAACAAAACCCAAAATGGTACTTAAAATCGTATTTAGTATAACTGACCCCATGGAGGAGGGTCTTTAGAGGAGATGATAGTCTTAAAACTTTGCATACCGTGTAGTGTATTAGAATATAAAATAAGCAAACAAACAAACTATTAACACTATGAATGACACTAGAGCCAAACGCGAACTCAAGAGGTAATCATCAGTGGTAACTTAATTCCCTGTTGCCACTGATGATGACCTCTTGAGTTCGAAACGCTTTTATCAATAGTGTCATTCATAGTGTTAATAGTTTGTTTGTTTGCTTATTTTATATTAGAAGATGATAGGAGTGAAACTTGGCTACTTTTGTACCCATATAAGTAATTAGTCATGGCGATTTACAGCATCATGTAACAATCTGAAAGTAAAATATTCTGCTTGTGTCTAAACATCCGCACTCTCACCAACATACAAATGGATGTATCTTATATAGGTAGAAACAGTTTCAAACAAAAACTTTAGTAGTACAAAAAATCACATTGTATGTTACGTGCAGTCTCTGCGTGTAGTCTATGAGGTTTCAAGGTAGTGTGCTTCAAACAATAATTCACAACGTATTTGATGTTATTAATGCACTCTGCCAGTTTGTGCTGTCTCACACCGTTCCGTTGTAACACTGACGAAGACCTCGAGCAGTTTTATGCACACTAGGTCATAATTATGTTTAATACAGTGGTTCCTGTATGAGTGGTAAAGTGTGGTATGGCCATTTTTCGTTTAGCCTTACAATTCACTCATTATAGTCTGTCCGCATTTAGTCATTGGTGTCAAAAGTAATGGAATTGTTCACCGTCTTTTCTTGCATTATTAAAATGCTTTATTTTCTTTATAATCCCTTTAACGGTTTAGAAAAATAAGTTTTTATTTTGTAATCATCAGGGGTATAATAGTAAAATTAAAAAATTCCGGGGATTTTTAGCACACAGTTTGAGGTTGAAAATAATGGTCATAAATATTGACGTGAGACTGTCCTCGTTGATATTAATGAGAGCTTAAAATGTTTAAGGACATATTTCAGTGATAAACAGCTCATGAAATGCACGTCAGTGGTATTGAAACGAAGAAGGTAACACTAGAATTTTCCAGAATAAAACAAGACATACGTTATAACTTCTTTATTCAATCTAATGAAAAATAAAAATAGCATGTTTGTTGATTAAAACGTTAAGTTAAATGTAGTACAACATATAAAACACGTACATTCGAAACTAGCAAAGACAATCAAGACATGTTAGGACCTACTAAATTATAATTATCAGAAGTTATATAATGTGGCTACTAAATTATAATTATCAGAAGTTATACTTAGTTACGCAATTTTGTTTGAAAATAGAATTTCACTAAGCCACATTATAGAACTTAAATTTTCATAATTTACTTTTTGCCTAGGAATGAAAGATGCTGGAAACTTTTATAAAATATCTAATACGGAAAAACTAAACAATTATTATAAGGCTCTGTTAACAATGAACTTAAATTTTTTTAAGATTTCATGTTTATTTTCAAATAAGTCCACTCCTTGCAGCTTACTTCAAAAGTATACAATTCTTCTCTCTTGAATTAGAATTGTCGATGGCGTCAGACACCAGCACTGCATTACAGTCATATCTTTATCGAAATGTCTAAAAGGAATATGACATTTCAGGTTTCACGACTGTAAAATTGTCTTCCGGGCTGTGACGCCTCATAGTATGTAGGTAGTCAACAATGTCACTTCTAACAAGAAAATGAAAGCTACAGTTTCTCCAAATTTTTGGTAAGGAACTAAAAGACTACGCGACGTCACAACCCAGAACGTAGCAATCCACATGTCTTGAAGAATGTTTGTTTCTGTGTGTTTTATCGTATAATAATGCACTGTAGATAGTAGACAATAACAAAAGCGTGATAGAATTATGGAATTTTGTCATGAATGTGATGAACCTTCGTATTCTGTAGCTAAAGTTAATTCATTGTTTATCTGGATAGTTTATTCACTGTTTTCTTCATACAACATAATTAGCCCTGCAATCACATGGAGTTACATTACGCTGTATAAAAGCAGATTACATGAGAAATTCAGCTATGTTAATGATAATAGGACGACTGATTTTTTTAATTTCTCATTTGTAAACAATTCCCTCAACCTAGCATAAGCGTAAAGAAATTGCGTCTGTATGTTTGCATACAGGCTAAATATCAAAGTATTTGAACAAAACTGTTTTCAGTTCTGTGCCTCAGTGGCATCTCTGTTTTGAATTGACTTTAGTCATTGGGTCCGGAATTCATTCACTCTTCACTGCATCGTCCTGCCTGCTTTCCCAATGCGGGTGAGACCCATCGCCCTTACTTTCCACTGTACGACGGACCATGTCGGCTGTTGGTACCCTGAGGTCATATGCCCAGCCCACAATCGAAAACAGGTCTATGAGAGCTGTGGTGAAGTTGAATGTGTAATTCCCCAGTTCGGCTGCTTTGTAGTCCCACGGAAAAACGTGATGATAGTTGTGCCACCCCTCACCCATAGACATTATGGCCACCGAAACATTTTCGGCAGGACTAATGCCCCTGCAACATCATACAAAAGTGTGGTTATGTTTGCATGATGCAAGGGAGTTTTTGACCTAAGGAAAAGAAGTAACAATATTCGGGAAAAATGTATGAATTTGCCATCTAACTTAGTAATTACCTCGCTAACTAACTAACCAACAATCTAAAAAGTAACATTGTAATAACTGATCCCAAGGGTTCAGCATCATCAATACCAGGCGTTAGACATGATCAGTTTTCCAAGAGATCTCTTCACTAAAATTCTCAAATTAATATTCTCGTAATACAATTTATGGCGTTGGAAAGCTAGCAGATATTTAGCCTTATATAGGAATACAAGTTGTATTCATTGGTCTTGTAAAAGGAAGAACACCGTATGGTCCAGCGCTTCTAAGCCAGACATCTCTACGTAGCACAAAACGTTTTTAATAGGCCTATGAAGTAGGATTCAGACAAAATGATATAAAGTAGTGTTACCTGTTGTAGGGCTTGTTGCCCCAGATATGGGCTGCGCTGTTCACCGCCCATGTGGAGTTGAGCCCAACCATGTAGCGCAGGAACCCCGCTGCGAGAATGGAGTACTGCCATGTTTCGCCCCACATCAAAGGGGGTACCAGTACGGGCAGAACGAAGCACAACATAATCTTCAGAGGTATGAAAAATCTGCAACAAACAAATAGCAAAATTCACTGTAGAGTCTTCTAAAGGATAGAACCGTATTTTTACGGAAATAATATTGCGTACGTTTTGGAAAAACTTGCCTTTTTTAGGGCCGAAGTAATGGAAACGTTCTTTATATAAATAAAACACTCTGTTGCGAATTGTGATTGGTTCGGGATAATACTAAAAGTTCTAATTGTGAATGGACAGATCGCTATAAAAATAATCGTGGCGCGTTGTAATCTCAACGGTCTTCCATTCAAGTCCGACATTAATTAATGGTACAGCTATCGACTAACGAGTTAAGATTATTCTCTGAGAACATCTATGAAATATCATTACCCGAATTGTTTTTATCGTGTTCACTGGGATACACGACGGATTGAAAACTTTATGAAGACACGTCAGTAGATAGGTTATTGAGCATTTGCGTCTAATCAACTCCATATGTCATATATTGTTGAATTGTAAGGTAAATGTAAAGTTGTCACAGTGCTTAATTAAGCAGATCGCAATGAAGGCGCATGGTAATGTGGAAGTATAGCTTCGCGTATTTTTAAACTCGATATTAGATAAGAAATAAGTTGTTTTCCGTTTCGGGCAACCTTGTCTTCGGGAAAAAAACATCCAGAATTAATTGGCTAGACGTCCGAATAGTCCCAAGAGGAAGTCTGAAGGCGGTAATGAAGAGAAAAATCGGTTCCCATAACGACTACCGGCTACCTCAGGAACACATGCTATGAGCTTTACCGCTACACGAACTTGTTTGGTAGGTTGGTAGGTCACGGTTTGATTTTATTTGACTAAAAAGTGTGCCCAGTAAGAGAGGGAGGGAACAATGCTGCATTGGTAATGAAGGCCAGCATTTACAGCTACAGATGGCTGCAGTTATCTACTCTGCGTTTCGATTAAGATGGCTGGTTTCGGTTGAGCAGTAGCAAGGGTCAAGGACTGTTACGACGTCAGTCTTCGTTATTGCTACTGTGCGCCTTCTCTCGCAGCTTTTACAACTTGAAATACTTTAAAATAAAGTGTCTCAGGTAGCAATTCGTTGTTAGTGTTCCTTTTAGCACGAGAAAATCAGCACAATGAACGAACAACTTACATGAGATTTGAGATTGTTATGGCATTGATGACTGTGATCTTCTGGGTTGAGACGCCGTGTTGTGTTGCATGTTGCTAGCGACATATTGGAGGAACGTACCATTTTAGTCTTTGCCATCTACATAACCACACGCCGTAATAACTAATATGACGATCAACAGTTAACGCCGTTTTGAAGGTATTTAATTGTTCCAAGGTAGAGGTAGAGAATGGTGAACTTGTGCACTGTGCTTCCAACAAAAAAGAAAGATCTGTTGATGTGTGTATTGGCTCTCTGCTTCTCTCGTCGTCACTTATCCGCCTTCATGTTTGAATCGTACAGTAGACGTTACATTCCCTTGAGGCTACTAGCTAGCCTCCTCAGTATTGTTACGGTGAAGCTCGGTGCGAAAATCTCTTTTTGAAGATGTAAGTAGAACGGCTTTTTTATAAAGCTGTATTGTGTTTTATGACTTCAAGTACTATTGAGCTTCGTCACCTTCTTCTACCGGGCATTATAACAAGGTCGGAGTCGCATTATTGTACCAGTAACGTATTAGACGTATTGGGAAGGTACTCATTACAATGTCGAGCCGGTTGTATTCAAGCCTAATTTTTTCTCCTTTTATTCTCAGTTTCTCCAATTCTATTTCAGAATGATATCTTGAAACAGGTCATACCCACAGGCTTCTGTATACTTATCCACTAACCACTCACAACCTTTTCACCTCTTTCGACGCTACATAATATTCGCAGTTGGAAAGCATCGGTTACATAACTTTAGAATAAATCAGTTGAACATTGGAACATCGAACAGCGCGACCTAGCTGTGTGAGGCGTATTAGTCTTGGACAGATTGAAAACCAGGATCCAGGGGTTGAATCCCTCCCGTGTTGTAGATAAAACTTTATTTCGACTATATTAGCGATATATTGTGTTGTCCGGTGTCGGTAGAAGCCTTTCGAAGAGCCCATTTCTTGTTTCAGTGGTCTGTAAAAATCTAAATGTTTTCGTTGTTACAGAAGTACTTTTAATCTGACCAGACCATACTGTTAAATCCGTAACAGCTGAAGAATAACTCAGTGGTATTGGTAATATTTGTTTTTGTAACACAGACACAGTTAAAGAAACATCGGTTCTTGTTCTTGAAGCCCTGACAATGACCGACAAGAAGACGTACGACATACTTTCAGATCCGTGCTGATATGTCTGTTAGAGTTGAAAGGAGACGGTAATTACGTCAAGGTACACTTGTTCCGTAAAGAAATTATAAATCATTGATCATACCCTGTCGTTTTGCGACACATGTTATACCAATACCTCTTTGTACTGGATTAAAATAATATATCCCCTTATCAAATTATTTAAATAAAATTTAAAAATGTATAAATTTTTTATGAAGGGGAATATTTTCCAGATTTTTTAAATTCTTTATTTATTTTTCAAGTCTGTCACCAGAGAATTCTTTATTTTCTCACAGATGATCTAAAATTCATTCATAATTGAAAGGTATGAATGAATTTCGATCGGTAAAATGTGCTCGCTTTACCTAGTCACTTTATCTGTAAGAAAACAAATATTAAATTTGAGGTTCTCACGGCCGTGAAGATGTTGATGTAACTCCCTGTGGACTGCAGGTATCGTACCCTGGTTTCTTTCGGAAGGGTGGGCCGGTAGGGAGAATAGTTACTACCTTCCAAAAACCATACAACCGTTGTAGGCACAGGATGAGCAGTGTGCACATATAAAAATGAAGCAAACATTACCGCTCCGAATATCTGCTTTATATAAACTAACCAAGAATAATTCGTCATGAGATTGCACAAAATGTTTTCCCAATTTAATTATATATAAAGATGTGAAAGACACAAATTTACGTAGCATTAAATCAACAAAAATATTTTTAATATTTTCGGTAAAATACTGTACAAGATAGGTAGCATACGAAGTTATATCATATGAGGGCAGTTGTTCATAAGCAGAGAGCCAAAAATAATGCTAAATTAAAAACAGTAAGTTGCAGTGTGTTAGTGGACAGAAAAATACACAATTCAGAAAGAGTTATTAACCCATTGTGTGAAAACATATGTTTAAAGTCCTTGAATAAAAACGATAAAAATTGAATAGGAGGAGGCGAAGACATATGAACACTTAAAAAGTAATGTTCATATGTTTAAAAAAGAATCAGGTACTGTCATTTATATTACTACAGGTTCAATGGAGAAATTAATATAGGCTACACTGAAATACTAGAGGCTTGACGTAAAATGTTTCTTTATTTTATGTCAGTCCAATTTGTCTTATCTTATCGGAGAGTTTTTTCATGTGTTATTGTGACAATGAAAACACTTTTTTTAAACAGAGGAGTCTCAAGGATAAGCATGGAATCTATTTTTCCAGTGTAAAAACAAAGATAAGCTTTTGTCAATTTAATATGTTAACAATAAGTTTATCAACCGTTGCGACACAAGATTAAGTATTTGGTTAAGTATAACAGTTGGAAGTAAATAGCCATGCCAACCTTGAAATAGGCTACAGCTGACCTGTTTATTACCTTCTCATAGAGAAGTTGAAAAGGTCTGTCCATTTATTCTGTTATCCCATGTTTCTGAAGTAATACTCCTATCTGAATATTGCTAAAACTCGGATAACTATAAAATAAATAATCCTCCTTGAGAAGCTAATAGTTTCCCAGCTAGTCACTAAATTCCACGTTCATTATCATTCACATAATTTTACCACTTGGCTATATCCTGATCCAGATAAATCCACTCTTCATCTTTATTTATCTGCAGTTTGTTTAACAACGTTGCTAATAGCGCAGACTAGGCAGTGTCAAATTATGGGATGATTACTGAATAATCAATTTAAAAAGGTATTTATAAGAAGGAATTGAGGGAAACCGCGAAACACAGCCGGTGTTCAAGCGAGATGTGAACCGGGGACCTCCCGAACGAAATAGGAGTGTTATGCACACGGCTGCAATATTCAGTTTCTTGCAGAAAAACGTGTAACTTCCTAGCAAGCCGTGATTGAGATTATTGGTCAACTTTTAGTAGAAAATCTTCAAGGTGATATAATACAATTCTGAATCCCTAGATGCCCCACTATGAACGACACAGGTTTCAAATCTGTTACTCTCAAACGAATGTTGATGAGTACAAATACTGAAGATGTCACAACTCACACACATTGGTAAATCAGTCTACCAGCATGTTAACATTAGTGCAGTTATGTCCTCGATGTACAAGCAAATTATAGTTGTATTATTCTCCATGAGTCTTTATTATTTTCGTCTATAATGTTTATATTACACAGACTAATGCATATTGTATACGCACGATAAATAATAAATTAATATATTTTAATGTGTTTCCCGTGTACCACTGATGACGCAAAACTCCGCCATTCATATTCTATTAATAATTATCATGGGAAAATTCGTAGTTGAGTTTAAATAGCCACAATAAAGTGAGTACTCACTTTTGATGGAAGGCGACCACGGGGTCCTCCACGACGTCCCTCATGTCGATCATCTTCCCATACTTCAGTACGTCAGGATGTTTCGTCTGCATGAGCCATCCGACGTGAGCGAAGAAAAAACCTCGTTTCGAATTGTGAGGATCGGCGTCTGTTTCGCTGAACTTATGGTGCACCCGGTGATCACGCACCCAATCGAATATCGTATTCTGTTGGCCAATAAATTTCTGAATCAGAATTATGTACATAATCGATTGCTGAACACATTTTTAACTGTTATTCCTACTGTCTTTTTTAACTGTAGGAACAAGAAATTCCCGTCTAGTGGAGCAGTCGCGTCTCTTCGTTTCAGTATTAACTAAAAACTAAATTAAGCAGAGTATTTTTATGTTACAATTGTCCAGTTTGTCACAAAATTCTATGTCTCTATGGAAGCCGAATTTCCATTGCCTGTTACAAGCCAATTGAATACAGGCCTAGTCCACACGTCTACAAACTATTTCTCTAACACCCATTTTGGTATCATTCTCCTATGTACATCTAGGGCTTCTAAGTGATCTCTTGCCTTTTGGCTTTCCGATTAAAATTTTGCATGTGTTCTTCATCGCCCCGATACGTGTTATCTCTTTATACCCTAACAGCAGACTATTGTACGTCTGTTCGTTTATTTAATTGCCCCAAAAGTATTTGGTGAACAGAAGCTCCTCATATTCTCCTCAACACTTTTTTCAAACATTCTCATTCTATATTATTAATACGTTTCTCAATTTATGTTGTTTCCTTGGAGTTAAAGGCAGATACTGGTATTTTAATTTTTAGGTTTTTAGGGTATTGGGTGGTAAGAAGCATAAACTGAAGTTCTAAAATCTACATTAAATATTTTTTAAGTGTAAGACATTCCTTCGGAAATTTTGCTTCTGCCATATAAACACTTGTTTTGTCAGAGAGAGCTCATTCGTGTCTTCATGATTTATGGGTTAGAAAATTTCTATAAACACCAGAAATGTGTAGTTTATTCCGTTGTTACATCTTGAGGACAATAATTGTTTTTGAGAAAAGCGAATTAGCTATAAAATCTTCCTAACCAAGTAACTTAGCCCAGAGACAAGCCTAATCCTGTAACTTAATTAATATCGACAGAAATTTTACGTGAACATTTTCAGGTGGATGCCGAGATTTGGGTTAAAGTACGCCACTACTTGTCACGGATCCTGCCGGATTTGTAATAATTCAGAATTTTAATTTTTGTTCAATGAGATGAGGCGAGTAGCATGCACCAGGAAGATGAGAAGTGCATAAAACATTTCTGTCTGAAACTGGAATTACTTTAGGAGCAGAGGAAAGACTGGCATTAAAGAAATGTGGTGACAGAATAGACTGGATTAAATTGGTAAAATGTAGTGACCAGGGTGTGCTCTTGTAAACACAATAATGATGTTTCCCGTCCCATAAAAGAAGGGGGAGTTCTTGACCAACTGAATGACTATCAGCTTCTCAAGAAGAACTTTTCTCCATGAAGCAGACTAATGACAGGCTTAATATGACTATCGATTTAACAGACGCCCACTTCAGAAGTATTATTTACCTACACTACAACAGTAGTAGCCTGCATCGTAAATTAAAATGTCTAAGGGGCTAAGATTCGGGATACGGTCCAATGGTGGGATTTTGTAAGTGAGGCAATAAACTTTATAGAACTTCCAATTTTCATAAAGTGTAAAATATCTTATTCTACAACTTTTCGTAGAGATCCTGCTCCCTGGAGTCAAAATCGATACCATCTGCTTTTCAACTAAGCCTTGTTTTACCTCAAAAATTTGGCCCAGTGTTTCCAAATATTCTTACACCCGCGGAAGTTTGTCACAGTTCTGAAATCAGAGGGATCTGAGAGGCATGTGTGTAAAGCACACTATAGGTGTCACGGGGAGGGGGTTCAAGGTCATTCCCCGAGAAAATTCTGAAAATAATTTTGTTCTTAAGCATTTGAGTATAGGAAAAACTTAATACCTATTTTTAAAATATTATTTATATATTACAGCAATAAAAACCCAAATAATATATTATCTATAATTTATTATTGTTGTTGTTGTTGTTGTTGCAAAAGTAAAGTAATTAGGTCTGTAAAAATATTCGGTTTGTATTTGGTACTTCGCAGGACATAAGAATAACGACTTTGTTTCTGTTTCTGTTACCCTCGTGACACACATTTTTTTGGTATAAACATTGGCTTATTAAATTAATCTTCGATCGCCTTCGCTGCATTTAGCTGATAATAGGGATAATCCTAAGGAGTATTCAGATGGACTTCTGAGGCATGAGCCTGGTGAATGCGTTCTGTCTGAAGTCCGTTTCCCACAGACCTCTTGACTCTTAAGACCCAATCCACGTGGTAATCAAGTGAAAGACGTATGGTTATTTGCTAATAAACAGGTAAAATTTTTTAAGGTCGCCCTTTGGACTATAGGGTCATCCGTACTAGTAACCGGTAATATCTACAGTCCCAGACGTTTAAAAGAAATAACATGCAAATATTTGCTTAATAGTCTGTGTACGGACATAAAATCACGCGTTGCGTGACTTGCAGTCAGACTAAATATAAATAGAAGACTGTTTATCAAGATGTCCTCAAGAAACCCACGTGGCCCTGTTCTGTAAGGGAGCACTCTAAAGAAACAGATACACGGGTTAATTATATTATAATAATTATGCCTATACATAAAATTATCGATATCTTTTATAACTCAGTGAGTATCGATTCGTATTATCGAAATATCTACATGGAAATTAATTATGTTAAAATAATTAGGTCTCAAAATATTTATTCGTGTGCACAATTATATGCGTTACATAAATGTAAGTATTGCAGTCGACACGACGATCACTGATTCCGAGAATTATTGAGATGCTACCACGGAAATGAACCATATTTACTTCAGTTTACTTTCCTTTAGTGCAAACACTTACCGGGAATTTAACTCTTGCTTCTTTAGGCAGTATCAATTACGTCAACATCGCGTCACAACAAATCAGTTAAAGTCAATAAGCCCGATCACGGAAGAAAGCAGTCATTAGTAATACTTTTCAGTACAAGTCTGTTCAAACTTCAACTCACCAATTTCTCAATAAACGCTTTCAATTGTAATGTTTCACTAGATTTGAATTTGGTTATTTCAGAACAACAAAATCGAATTTGTTTGGACACAAGAACATATAGATATAGAAAAGTTGAATGACTAATCTTCCTTCAACTGTTAACATTACAGACCCTAAGAAAGATCAGAATCAGGGACTGACAAATAATGGGGCCTATACAATAAAAGCAAAAGCCAATTTTCACAGCCTGTTCCCTAACATTTATGTTAATACTATCTCTCATCAACGCCTGGATTATTAAGTGCTCATTTTTATAAAGACTAATTAGTATTTGAGGGTCTCACGGCGATGTGTGCAAAGTTGGCTATCTTTTGGGTTTTAGCGCCCTATAGTCTGGTAGTAGTTTACCGACGTTTCAGAGATCCTTGCTCTTATGATGGAGGCAGCAACAACCTATATTCAAATGGTTACATATTTATAAGTTAATGTTTAGTCGTAACAGACCATACGTAAAAAAACAGTTAATACAGAAAGCTGACGTCGCTTACCTGGCCTGCCACAGAAAAGCACAAAGCGAGGATGACTCTGAGTGGCCACTTGGCTTTGTATGAACGATGGGTCCATAGACGGTGCACGCCTCCGGTAATACCGAAACCTGCAGTAAGAATGACTAACAAACCTGCAACAGTTTCAGATTGCAAGAACAGTGAGTGGAGTGTTTTCTGTTGGGTGTCGGTCAGAGCGACCTGGTTTTGTAAACAGGAAAGTTATTGACACATGAAATAACAAGCGATTAATAATGCTGAAACAGCACTAAAACCTAAAGAATTTATTTATATTTGCATGGTATGAAATTACGAACAAAAACAGTTTTAGACAGTAATGTTAACACAAGACTAGATATCGATAGTTCCATAGAACTGGTAAGAAAACTGCAAAGAAAATCTTAACAGATTTATGCAGAATTGGGAACGGGCTTGTTAGCACCAAAACCATGTCAAGGAAGACGATGTAGATGTGGAATAATAGATATTCCTAAACTACAATATGAACGCAAATATTAGACGCGAGAAAAACAAATGACAAGATGGAAAGGACAGAAATAAGTCCCTCGGTGTTGTAATAGAATACAAAATGACGAATTATAATCATAATAAAGGTAGTAGGAATAACAAACATATAATACACTAATAAGCTATCGAACGGAGTGACCAGAACAGGGGTGGGGAACCTTTTCATGTTGGAAGGTCGCATTAATTTAGCTGTAATCAAATAAGGCCGCATTCAAGAAACTTCAATTTGATATACTTAAAAATATACATTATTTTGTAAAAGTCTAACTACTATGTAAACTATTTGTTAATTTTAAAGTTAACTAATCTTTTAATGACTTTGTTGTGTCTGCTTTTTGTTGGAAAGCATTTGAATGCTTGGTTGCAGCATGGAGTTTCAGTTGATCCTCTAGATGGGTATCCGTCATTTGTGACCTTTAGGGCGTCTTGAAAAATGTATTAATAAAAATAAAAGCATTTGTTCTGTAAAATTTTGATTCAGTCAAAAGGCCGCACGTAAGGACCTAGAAGGCCACATGTGTCCTTAAGGCCGCAGGTTCCCCACCCCCGGACCAGAACATGTGATAATCATACAGAAACCTGTTTCTGAGTCTGTTCTGTCAGTCCTACAATAAGACATAAGACACTGTAATAGTAGAACTTTTCAGATTCTTAAATCTAAAAGATGTGGCTTCATATACATTTTCTATTATTTGCGCCGAACAATTCTTACCGATCATTAAATTTTATTTTTGGCTTTCGTGACGTCCCATATCGATCGCCTGCTCATTAAAAAGCACGCAGCAGTAAAGTCGTGCACAGCATTATACACTACAAATATTCAGTTGTGACCTCTAGCAACCTGGCGAGTGAATGAGAAAAGGAGGAAGTAATCTATATTATTCATTAGCACGTGTAGGTTTCAGTTGTAAAGCACTCACTCCACACAAAGGTCTTCCAGTTGAGCCGATGTAAAATGAACAGTGCGTATAGTGCCGGCAAATGAAATAAACCGATGCTGATGACATTAACCCATTTTATACGTTGTTTATGTTCTCCATTCTTGTACTTTTCATCTCTTGCGTCTACTTCGGTCATATTATCTCAGTGGTATCTGTAACCTGAAAACGATACAATTTCTTACATATATTGAGCCAGAGAATAAGTGTGTGTACGTACCTGGGGCTCGGGGAACTGCCTGTGTTTGATTCCATATCTGTTCACGCTGGGGCCTTGGTGAGTTTAAACCCTTTTTGGGGCTACATTATTTGCATCTGATATAGAGATCTGAGTGGTACAAAGTCGTATGTTACCGCAAAAATCTGATAGGAAGTTTTATATTTGTCTTTATGCAGTTTCATCCATTGTCTTCTTATTTATCCCTCTTGGGTTCAAACATTCTCTTTAGCTGTTGAGCACACTTAATTAACAAAACTTACTTCCCAATCACGCATTACTTTACTTACTATTAAGTTTAGTTTTATGACCAGTATTAATATGATAAAGTTGCAAAGCTTTGAAAGAAACTTCACACCATACAGTCACAATTGTATGATAATCGCCACTTCATTTGCAGGTGATATCACAGTTCTGACACCTTCATTCTAAGACCACGAAAACTCTTGAATATGGACAGCATCAGAAATGAGAGAATTTGCGTTCCTCATCATTACATTTTCCCGCAACATCTAATATTGCATTTTCTAACGTACATCCTGTACAGTCAGCTCTGAAAGTGCTGCAGAACACGTATGGCAAGTGCGCGGCACAGTTGCTTGGCTGTACTTTGCAGTTTTGATTACTTTTGTATTGCATAGTTTTGATGAAAACGTCAGAACCGGTCCAGATCTGAGGCTAGCCCAACCAGAGGGCTCAACAGCTAGTGTTTCTGTCCTTCCACTTTTACCTGAAGACTGAACAAGTTTGAGTTTCCGAAAGGTTGTATTTTTAATGAAATATTGACGATAAACAAAGTCCAAAATAACACTCTTACAGATTATACGGTACGATCGTCAGAAACTTTTGGACTTTGTTTAATTGTATTGCCACTCTCTTTTCGTTTGTTATTTAATGAAATTTGAATAATGAAAGGTTTATGAGCTATAATTTACTAACAAAGTTCTATTTCAGTATTATGATTTTAAGTCCGCAAACATATAAATACTATCTTATTTCATTGACTAAATTTTCAGTAATGAGACATAAGGTTTCTACGTAGGCAAATCGCAAATATGGAGGCTACACTTCCTCCGAAACGTATGCACCCGTCAACTAAAGTCTAGTAGACGTGTAACTAGACTACGTGAAGTTACAGCTCAGAAGATAAAACTACCAGTGACTTAGTAGAATACATACCATTAAAATATTAGAGTATGAAAGAAGACACATAATACTTGAAGATTAAATAAACGAGGATGTTTCAAAAAGTGGAAAACATTTCTAGGTGAAGGATTAATTTTCATGACACATGGAAATATCTTGGTACAATTCACTTTGCTATATAATTACCACAGATGTTCAAGCAGTTGTCCCACCGTGATACCAAGGTGTCTATCCTGGCGTGATGGTAACAATCTGACTATACATTTGTATTTTTTTTCTAAAGTTCTGAGATATATTCTCAGATTGGGGCTGTAGAACCTATCGTTTAGTATGGAATGTAGGTGTAAGAATATGGCCATTACTAACAGCACAACTATGAGTTTTGTTTATTTGCAACATTCAGAACATAATTATTTTTTTATGAAACCGGATTATTGTATTTGATACAGTAAACAAGCTACCCAACCTTATTTTTTCCTTTCCCATCCGCTGATGTCGCCGGTGGCATAGCTACGTTGAATGCAGTGTACATAGCAAAGGGAGAATGAAAAAGTTACAGAAATATTAAAAACTGAGGGGACTGTCAGTCTTTTCCAGTGAAGTGGCTGAGACACGAAAACATTTCTGGGAATTTCTGAATGAGTTTATCTTACAGAAATGACCCCGAGGGAAAGAAGAAACCGGTCAGGTACTAGCAACTGTCTATGATCACCGTCTTTCCTAACATCCAATTGTTAATTCGGGTTATTAGAGTTTCCCTGAGAGAGTCAGTTATCTAATCAAGAGTTGCAGAATAAATTATGAAGTTCACATTTCTTTTGAATGTTTACAAAATAAACTAATAAAATTTATACAGTAATAATTTTGCAATGTAATGATCTATTTCTCTGTATAAATTTCATTAGTAAACATTCTCATTACTTTCTAACCTACATTAAATAGTAATAATAATGATATTTGACATGTACGAGTGCCTGTAATTCGTAACTTTCGAGTCATTTGACAGATATTTATAAAACTTGGTATGAATAACATGCCAGTAGTGTTTGCACACCTATGAGAATATTCTTAAGGACACTGTTTTGTACAGTTATTCCTAATAAATAAGAAATTTTATTGTTGTGTTACAGTTTACGAAAGTTTGGTAACTTTTCTTTTGGTCAACAGTAATATAACCTACAAATAAGACTGTGATAATAAAATAGACACTCGTTATTTAATTACATTTTTATTAGAGCCAAAACATCATAATATACTGCCAACCAAGAATTAAAGCCATCCTGCCAAGATTCGCATTTACCAAAATTTTTCCTGTATTTGATCTCCGCACTCCAGATTAATTTTAAAAATACCCCTCCCCCAAAAGACGTGTTTGTTTATCGGTCTCAGCGATAAAGTTTCCTTCTACCTTCAACAATAATCTTTGCTTACGTACCTTGTATCATGTGCTATTAGGAGCAAAATGTCAGTTCGTGTTCTGATGGTCAGAGTAACTGGTGAATTGTGTAAACTGTATATAGTACTGCAATTTACATGGTCAGAATAAATTAGGCTTATCCGGTGATTAGCCTTCTTTCATTATCTTACGAGGAAAAACATACTTATGGCAAATTACCATAAAGGCCTGTGTTCAGAGCTCCTGTATTTGGGTTTTGACCAACTAATGAATAGAGTTCTATTTGACACACTTAAATGGTACAGAATTTCTGCTAATGGAAATGATTTAATGAATTATAAAATTGTTCGTATATAATTTTTCTCGGTGTAAACATATAGACTGAAGCACTTGAAGAAAAGTAGACGTTAGAATTTATTCTGAGAACTATATGTACTTGTCTGACGATTATGCATGTGCCCAGTATGGAGGACTACTTCTTGTCGGAGACTGGAATGTATCTCCGTCTTCAGGTAAGTTAGTCCCTATCTCCGGAGATAGGGACTAGCTCTGTCGATGGGGCCATCGTAGTAGGTTTTACCTGAGGACGGAGATAGATTTCAATCTCCGAAACGTCGTGTTTTATTAATTCGGGGACGAAGTATATGTCTATAAAGTAGTTTGCTTCACTCATGTACACAGTTCAACACTTCAATGTGTTACGATGTGATGTTGTACTCTGGAATTCGTTCATGGGTTTTTGTATTGAAAGCCTAGTCTTTGTTAGTTAAATCCGTTATTTAAGCTTGTTTTTTACATAGATATAATTCTAATATGCCTGCAGAGGAAGAACAGATAAAAACGTTTATCGAAAGATATCAGCAGATGTTCTCGGTATTCAGAATTACAGCTTAAGCATTAAGCATTGCCCTTTGACTCTGGTAAAGCCGAGGTTTTGCAGTGAATGAGTGAAAGGCTGTGAGGTCCAATATTTTTTTAATATTCAACAGCGATATCAGAGACGTTCAGAAGCATATCGAACAATAATACTATTTTGTGATTATGTAACAGTACAGCATGCGAGTCAATGACAGGGGTAGACAAAGCTTGTTCAATGAAATATAGCCTATACCTGCCATTGCTGGGAGAACAATAGGTGCTTCTTTAAACTGAATGGCAACTGAAAATCATTCGAATTTCCTGTTAAATACCGAAGAATCTAAAGCTATTATTTTTTCATTCTAAGGAAAACTATCTAGGAGCGATGATAGGGGACCAAGGGATGTATGGAATTGAAACAGAGGAAAGAATAAAACAAGGAAGGAGATTTATAGGAGCCCTCAACCCAAAATTATGGGACAAAAATATCACAAAAATAACGAAAGAGAGAATATATAAAACGATGGTACAAAGCGTGGCTGTATATGGAGCAGAAATATGGCAACTCTCGGAACAAAAAAAAAAAGTTGAGAATAATGGAAATGGATTTCCTATGAAGAGCGGCTGGAATATCCAGAAGAGAGAGAGAGTGAGGAACGAAAGGATTAGAGAAATCATGGGGTGGAATCTGCATGTGCTCTTAATTGTTGAAAGAAATTTCAATGTTTAGGCAGTTGAAACAAAGACCCACTGTTCGAAGCTTATAAACAAAATTACAGGCCTACATATTATGTAAATTCAATTAAATATTAGTGGTTTGTGTGTGCTAGAACACTGTTAACTTATGTAAAATCATTAGGCTTTTCAGGGTTTCTCTCCTTTTCATACCCAGACAATTTCGTATTGTTTGGTGGGCGGCTTACTAGGCGAAACACGAGTACATGTGGTGACATCCTGTCTCTTACATGACTTCACTTGTCATTCAATGTCAGTGTCGTTCTCATATACAGATGTGATTATCAGCACGCTGGCTCTCCTTTGCTGCTATGAAATATCTCCTTCGTTTCATGGATGTATTTGTGGTTTCAACGAAATGCAACTCCTGTAGCTAGGGTAATATCGTTATCCTGAGAATCATACGATAGCCATTAATACACGACGTGAGGAAAATTCAGAGTCCTTGATCACTAAAGCGGGTGTCGTACATCGTTAACAATAGACCTGAAAGGGTTAATGATTATCTGTACGGGTACGTCGGATGTTCGGCCGTGCCTTAGCTCAGGCAGTTAGTCGCCAGCTTTTCACCGAGTTTGATAGGCTTCGACCTTTGATTAATACACGCGGGATTTGCTGTGGTTAAAGCGATGTTGGGGCAGGTGTAGCTTCGAGTTCTTCGGTACTCACTTGCGAATATTATTTAATCGATGCTATTCATATTCACTCATACATCATCTGCGGGATGACCTTTGACATGTGACATGGTGACGCGCGCTAATAATTGTCTATATATAGCGTGATCCATAATTTCTCCGTATCTGCTTGCCAGTGTGTGCGTGCCATATTGCATGACAGAATTTTAAAGTCATAATCTCATTTACGGGCGTGACTGAGACGCAAAAATATTTTTGCTGGGAGAAACAATAGAGTCATTCTGTGTCAGACTCATGGATTGTGTTAACTGACCATTTAACGTTCTCACTATTCGTTCAGCAACGCTAATAACAAAGACTATAGTAAAACGACAAAAGATATTTCACTTTCTCTCAAGTCTTCACCGCAAGATCCATTTCAATGGGAACCTCCCAACTCTTTTTAAATCTTCTAAGTTTGTCATTATCGTAATGAAAAGAAACCGTAATGTGTCTTCCGTAATTTCTTTCCTCTTTCCACTTTTCCTTTCTTTCATTCTTCCTTTGCTTTCGTTCTTTAAAGAAGAAATTCTATCTAAATATCTAATCATTAGGTTCCTACCTACAACACATACATGTCATCGTTGTAAGGGTAATTGTTTTAATTGCGTGTTAAGAAACGTTTGCTATTTATTTTGCGAAACCAAGTTTTAAACCCATAAACTTTCTATGGTACATGCCAAGCAACTGAATGCAAACCAGGCGGTGTACATAGTTACCACTAACATAAAACAAAGCATTTAGAATCAGAATTATAAATGTTATGTAAGATTTGAAGTTTTCACAGCGGTGAGTATGAAGATTTCTGTCTTCTACACGGCGTAACAACCCAGAAGACAGAAAGCTTTATTATAAAATTTGTTTATAATACCTGATATTATGATGGAGAACTATGTCCTACCCGTGTTATTAACCAATGAAATACTTGGCAAGTCGTGATGTGATAACGAAAGTTCTACCCTTGACTGAAGAGTGAATGACAGTTTATTGAATGATAATTCGTGGATTTTGCTGTTCATATGTTTTATTTCAGTATAATGCTTAAGCAATCAGATGACCTCTACAATGCCCATCTAGCTTTTCCTCTTAGGACGCGTGATACATTACGTGATCTGAACATAATTCTACTTCATGATAATCCATAATTTTTGCGATGATAGCAGATATAACTCAACTTTCAATGCCAAGAATCGAGCTATAAAACACTTCTATCTGCCTAACTTACACACTAAAAGTCACGATCCCACAAAGTCACTAATTCCATTTGAGTTTTCAGATTATCATGGCTGCGAGTATGAAGATGGCTGTCTTCTGGGTTGTAGCGCCGTGTGGTCTGGTAGAAGTTTACGAAAGTTTGGGAAGGAAATTAAATCCCGAATACTGGATCGATCCCAGCAAGATCTTGAAAGGATTAAGATAATTTGTTTTGAAATACAATTAATTAGGTCCAAAAATTGGCGAATGTTCATTACTATTTTCACACGAGTTTGCAGTGAATCGTATTCTTGAGCCACGTGAGTCCAAATTCTCATATCCTACTTATCTGAGATCCGTTTTAATATCATTCTCTCACTCATGACTATGTCTCCCAAATGGTATTTTTTCTTCAGGTTTCTCTGCTGAATTTCTACTCTAGTTAATATTATTTATCCTTTGTATGCGTACTATGAAATGTTTCAGAGCCTATCAACGGAGCGAACACAGCCGCGTGAATTCTTTGACCAGTGAACACCTGCTTTGCCGTCCTGTTTCATGAACCGAACTCTAACAATCCGAGCCAGAATTAGTATTATGACTATGAAGTGTTCTGTATCGAAAATTGTAATCGATACCTCCGAAGCACTGAAGCTGACATTTGTTTCCAAGGGAATTATAAATTTCTTAATATCAGTTTAAGTTCATCTGAAGGTTGGATGTTGGCGTATAAGACATCTGACAATAAAGTTACGGAAAGTCTTGAATAGGTCACGTCTGCCTATGTTGATGATTTTCATTGTAATGGGAATTCTTAATGCTGTACAGGCAATTTGTTACAGATTTCCTTTCTGCTTTAGTCACAACAAAGGATTCTTCTCTAGCTTTGTCGTCACCCGACACATTGACGTAGCCATCGAAAAACTGGCAAGTGCTGAATATTTCATAGTCTTGAGCCCTCGTAAATACTTGTCATGTCTTTCATACCTTTGATTCATTGAGACTTTTCGGATAGGGCATAAAGGTAAACATTACTGCTGTTTAATTATCTAAGTCTAGAAAATAACCACCGAAGTGAGGTTTCAGCTTTATACAGCAGTGTGGTTTTGTGGGTTGTGACACAGTGCAGACTTGTAGGTGAGTACCAACATCTTGGAGGTACATACTGCTTCCATTTTGAGGAATACTGAAAGCCACATTTTGTTATAACTGTATGGTTACAAGGTATGCTAACAGCAAAGGGATAAATTCTCCCTCTCCTGTTATTGTTACAAATTGGTTTATTCGTTTATTGTGTTAACTTTTCGCTTAAAATTAACTGAGCGTTAACTTATTATCACAAAAGAGTTCTAAGGGCCAAGGGATAAGAACACCTCGTGTATTTGAAAGAAAAAGTTCGTCATTTGCGAAGCACCTATTAAAATTGCTCCTTCTATCTGGACATTTGAAGCAATTAAAGAAACTGTCTGATCTTGGAGTATCGAGCTATATCAGTTTTCATCAAAATCGAATAAATCTGATGACCACTTTACGTAAAACCATAAACACTTCTTTTATAAGGCGCCTTTGGAATTACAGAATATCACTTCCATTTTACAAATTAGCTATATTCTTTTTTCTTATACGCAATTCGAAAATTTAAAGGTCTGTCCTCCGAACATGCATAATATCGTAGGTGTATAAAATATTTTAAATACACCGACATCTTAAGCGCCCTAGTAAAACTGTAATACAATGCATATTAAGTTGTATTAATTTAATTGTAAACCCGGAACAGATAAATAAATATAACCTACAACTTGGTGCCGGTAAGATTAAATGTAATAGGTACTGTTTTTTGTGTAAATATTAAGGAAAGACCCGCGTAGCCTGCTTCGCCCTCTACAGACGGCCCTGATCATGATCAATAAAAAAATAACAGAAAGTGACTGTCTTCTGGGTTGTTGCATTGTGTAGTCTGGTAAAAGTTCACCGACGTTTCAAAAGGTTCTTGCTGCCTCCATCAACATGTCGATGTTGGAGGCAGCAAGGACCTCTAAAACGTCGGTAAACTTCTACCAGACTACACAATGCAACAACCTAGAAGACAGCCATCTTCAGACTCACCCCCCGTTACATTCGATCTCATTACAGGGAAAATCTTCTGTAATATTAAGATATTTTAGTGATGAGGAGTTTCATGTAATTACATGTGGAAAACGTTGTAACTATCTCCTTACTCAAATTTGTTTTTCAGTGAAGAGGGGGCTTTACAGATTTTTGAAAATAACAGAACAAACATTATTTACATTTAAAAACTGTGGGGAATATCCTCATTTGCATTATAGTTTAAATCAAACCAGTTAATACATCATCGTTAAATTGTCTATGATCCATCAATACAAATAGCCCAATAACTAATTAAAGAACAGCATCGTACAAGGTCATGATGTACTGTCATCTCCTGCGTGGATATTACTGATAGAACATGTTGAATTTTGTGCATAGTTATTGTATTGACTTTAATCGTTGTCTAATTATTTTTGTTAAAAGCCACAAAGGTTCGGAAGCTGGTTCTACTATTGTCTTCAGGTGAAAGTAGACGAAGTATAACCAAATTTTTAAACGTTTTTGGCTAAGAATATGCCTAACAAAATAAAGACATTCACCCAATCTAACTGATGTCAGAATCCTTTAAATTGTTTTATGTTCTAGTTTAAACAGACGAAGTATGGGTCGTGAAGAACGTATACTTCTCTGCAGCTGCAGCGAGGTGATATTCTTAATATTGTTAGCTGTGGTCAGTAGTTCAAAAACCAGTTATCAACAGCGAACCCGTCGCATCGAATCCATAACCTCTTGCTTTCTGGCTGAATATGCTCGCTGGAGGAAACTGGATCAAGTAGTCATATACCAGCACTCCACATCGGGTAAGATTTATTTTCGTTTTAAAGGGGTAAATAAATTTGCCCCTATTCTTAACCGCCATGCCATAGGCGTACGCGTTTCAAAGATAACAGGTTACCGGTTATTTAACATAAGTGGTTTTCCCGTCTCGATATAGGCTATGACTGCCTCCTTACAAATGTTTACGTACAGTTCATAATAATTTTCTCATTTCATCCGACACTATATGATTTCAGAATTTGTGACAGCTCCCCGAATGACATGTCCTGTCGGCCGTCATTAGAACTGGGTGTCCTCCGAATACAAATGTATAAAAAGGGTTCTCAAACATGTCCCGCGGCCATGTGTTTTGCGCTGTCCGCATATCCTTTCTTTTTGTAATAATGTAACCCTATATACTGTGCAATATAGTTACGTGATATGATAAGACACGTTCATAATTTGTCAGTATTTGACAGTAGGTCTACCTATCGCTGTGAGCATCAGTCCAGCTTAATGGAGAACGCAAATCAGATCGAGGACGCGTCTATAAAAAGTAGTATGTAGCCAGATCTGAATAAGTTTAAGACCCCCTAGCGCAGGATATTATTACACCATCATGCTCGTAGACCTGACGAAGGGCAGAAATAACGAGTGTATAATCAGGGTCCTAAGGTTTCATATGGTGATTTATAACTATTATTAATTTATGTTAATTTCATCCAAATTGAAATAACGTCACGGCAAGCGCACGAATTATTTTGGTTTGCGGCGATGAATCACTTTAATTTAGGATAAATTTGTGTTGTAACAGACCTGTTTAGAAACCCATCTATTAGTAGTAATGTCATTGATGTTAAACGCTAAAACTTCTAATTTACAGCAAGTGAAGGACGTTTGAGAATATCTGGAGCAGCTAAAGACTTGCATTGTGCTATAGCAAGAATAAAGGGGAACGTTTTTTTCATTTCTGTAGACTGATGGCTAGTGATGATTTATTTTGGTCTGCAGATTCTCTACATAGAAACGGCAGTAAACTACCCCGTTGTTGGAAATACAGGAGAAATGTTGAATGGAACAAAACTTTCACTTCATGCTTTTTATATTTTCTTGTCTAAGTTTATGATGGCCAATTGTGTTACTCAGGAACACAAAATATGATTCTTTCCATGAGCATTCTATACATAATGAAATTAGCAGCTGGTTTCTTGTCGTGTCTTCAGCTGTTTTCTACTAATCATACTTTCATCAGTGCTCCCAGTTTAGTTGGTACATTAGACCTTTTTAAGTCCACCCTACCCCCTTTTCAGTATAGCTCAGTCAGTATAGAGACTAGCTACGGGCTGGACGACCGGGGTTCGATTCCCGACGGGGGCAGAGGATTTTTCCTCTAGCCTCTGCGTCCAGACCTGCTCTGGGGCCCACCCAGCCTCCTGTCCAATGGGTACCGGGGTCCTTTCCCGGGGGTAAAGCCGGCCGGGGCGTGATGCTGACCACTCACCCCCATCTGGTGCCGAGGTCAAGGAAGAGAGGAGCTATACCTCCACTCACCCCAAGCGCCTGTACGGCGCATAGCGGGACAAACTTTACTTTTTACCCCTTTTTCAGTATCGGTTATCTACTCAAATTCTACTATGCATGGAATCATAGACACTTGGGAAAATGACGTTTATTATGTACGCGTGGATTTTCAATTATAATGGAGTGAATAAAAAGGCCCGTGTAAATTATTAAATCTAGAAGGAAGGGGTGACTTGACTCATGGTGCGCGATAAAACCTCAAATAATCGCGTTGATGATGGCTGCAGTAAGCTCTTCTGAGACATTCGTTAGTATTTACCAGACTGCACGGCGCAAAATCCCAGACGGCAGCCGTCTTCGTACTAGTCGCCGTGAGAACCTGAAATCTCACCACAATTTAAGTGGCTCTACACGTGGTCCACTCGTTGGTTCTTATGAACACAGCAAAAATTCTTTGTCTGCAACCGGAACCGCAATATAATTAGAGTCTGCATCTACTGGCAGTCCTTTAAATTCAATTTTCGAAAATGTGGTCTGCCACACGAAGTTATTTCCCTCATTTTAATGGTTGAAATCAGTACTTTCTGCAGGCCATACTTATACCTCATTACTAGCTCAAAATTTCACAACCAATTTAGATTGTGGCTTGCTATTACAAAAGCTAACGAAAATTGCCTTATTTTTTCCATGACTTTACGAATGTCATTTGCCTCCTCAATGTCGTATCTAAGTGATGAACATTACTTCTTATTCTGTACGTCTCGGGCTGCAATCTCGGCCCAGACACAGACTGCCCTGACTGAGGGTTATTGAGGTTTTCCCCAGTCCCTCCAGGCAACTACCAAGATAGTAAGCATATATCAAAATAGACCACGACATTTTTCATAATTTTACAGCTTAATATTAATTAGTTATCCTAATATTCGTTGCTGTACAGTCTGAGCCGCTGACAATAATCTTTAACGAAGTCTCTTACCACACATAACACCTGAATGGTATCGGTTTTGTGAGTCAGTGTTTGATTATTTAAAAGAAACACGAGTCGTGTTACAGATTACACCAAAATGGTGAGCAGAGTATCCTATGTAAGATTTGAGGTTTTGACAGAAGTGAGTTTGACGGAGGCAGTATGACCTCTGAAACGTTGGTTAACATCGACCAGATTACACAGCGCAACAACCCAGAAGACAGAAATCTTCATACTCACCGCCCTGATAATGGAGGCAGTATGACCTCTGAAACGTTGGTTAACATCGACCAGATTACACAGCGCAACAACCCAGAAGACAGAAATCTTCAGAGTATCCTGTGTTTCGGAATCTTAATTTAACATCTAAAATCAGAAAAACCTCTTTGAAGCATCTGTGGAGATAACATGTTCCTAAAATTTCCCTCTGAATGAAGAGAACAGATTTGTAAGTTAAAAGGGTAAAGTTGAAGCATATTTGTACAAAATATCTTACAATTTGAATTTAAAATATCTGAAACTATCAAACATACTAGTTAGGCCTTCATCTTGAAATTTCGTATTATCACCACAGTATTATTTCAGTTATAACAGTACTTACACGATATTCGTAGACCTTTTGCAGCTTGTCTATAAGCAGAGACAAAGAACACACGTTTTCGGGAATATGTTTTATTAAAAATAGGCTTAACTTCTTTGTTTAAAACAATAATTTTGAAACTTTTAGAGTGTTTATACCGGAGTAGAAATACAACCGTATTTAGTACTTAGTAGTATATTCTGTATAAAAACGCCTCCTTCCTATAGACCACGTTCGCAAACTAACAAAATTTATTATTTTTACTCAAATCGTAATATTCCGCAGGTTTTACTAGGTAAACTTAAGATATGATAACTGACACTGATATTTTAAATGGACACGTCTACGAATGAGGTCGGATATGTTCACAAACTTGTTCAGACTTCACTAGCTAAAGAAAATGCCACTTCTAACAAAAAGAAATGTATTTTTCTTATCTCCCAGCTAAAGCATTGTTTACTTTCTATTAACCGGAAGCCGGATTTACTTAAGTGGCAGGCTGAATGGCCAAGATTTGTTTCGATTTTATGCGCCACCATGTCGAGACTGGCTATGGGAAACTTCGAGGCTCTGTCCTTTGGACAATTCGGCCTTAGCATATAGTCGGCTACTTACCTCAATATTATGTCAATCTCTCATTGACTACACGATCTCTAATACGCCTCTATGGAGTGGACCTTAGACGCAGGGGCAAATTTAACTTTGCACTCTACTCTCTTACCCACTTCAAACAAATACACTGGGTGCTACCTTGCCTGCCAGATAAGAACTCCCGCCCTGGTGGTCGATGATTACACTAACGTATAGGTATTGTTGCGTTGCGATTTTATAATCCTTGGCCCCGCCTACGTGTGAAGTAGCTGGGCCCAGTTCGGGAGAAAAATGTAGCGCTGTTGACAGGTCTTAATTTGAATAGTGATCGGAAATTATGAAGTCGTAAGACAGTTATTAAAGTAGTCATGAGATTTATTGGGGGGGGGGGGGGGGG